GGAAAGCTTGAGGCTCTGTCTCAAAAAAAAAAAAAAAAAAAACAAGTTCCTCCCTCATTATTCTGAGGTCAGGTCAGCTTGCGGTGACGCCCTCCTACGCGACTCCAAGTCTGTTTGTGATACTTACCAGCATTTTTTGCTAGGCCCTTTTGAATTGGTGGGTGCACTGAGTTGGTGCATCCTATATATGTACCGAGAGGGACCAGGGTTAGGACAGACAACCTCCATAGGAGGAAGAATACAGATACTGCACTTGCTGCTGGGTTCAAACACATGCTCTGCCGCTTGCCAGGTAAGACAAAACCCATTTTCTCTTACGTAAACGGTAGATGGGTGGTCATATATCCATATAGGAGAATTAGCTGTCAGATAACACTGTGTGGTTCTAGCCAGAGTGTCTGTCTGCACGGGGTGGGCGAGTCTGATGTCCAGCTTCACCAGGCACCATCAGCTCCGGGACCCTGTCTACTCCCTCTGTGGAACGTCCTGGCCACCCTGTCATTTTCTCCACATCCACCTCAGCCACCCAGGCTCGACCCACTGAAGCCTCTTTGAGGGCCCTTTGGGCCCATTCACTATTTCTGGACTCAAAGTTCACACCATGGCATGCAGGGTTGGCTTCCCCAACAGCTGCACAGAAGGAAGGAGGAGTTACTGTCCCAGAGCAGCAGACTGGATCAGCCAAGGAGATGGGAGCAAGCTAACTGCAAAGGCCCCTTCCTTCTCCCTTCACCTGCTCTATACAGGCTGTTGAGAAACTTCTCTCTTGGCAGAGGAACCACCTGTGTTTTTCTTAAGCTGAGATCAACCCTGTAACATACCACCTTGTGTGTGCTTTCCCACCCTCAATCCTTCTGCCCGACTCTGTTATTTCACAATAAACTGTCAGCAGATGAGTTTGCCTCAGTTGCTGCAAATGTGACGGCTGATGCCAGTGTTGTGAGCTCTGGTTCCCCCCCACCCACCCTCTCCCGTTCCCCTTCCCTACGGCAACCTCGTGCCCTCTCCTGTTCCCCCGCTCCTCTGCCCTACAGGCCTTCCCAGCCACATTCCCATACTCTCCAGAATTGGAAGAGGCATGGAAAGTCCCAAGTTTCACAAAAAGTTCTCAGTAGATGAACAGTGGTGGAAAACTCACCAAGGCTTGCTTAATTACTGTTGTATAACCATAACCATTGTGATTTAGGATGTCTCCATTGATCAATTATTGTTATATAATCATAACCATTGTGATATGAGATGTATCCATTGACAACCAAGCTGTAACTCTGCCAATGGCAACGTTCCTCATCCCTCTCACCCCCACTCACTTAAGCTATGCAGAGAAAAAAAGGTATAAAAGACAAAAAGCCTGCACTTCGGGGCTGCTTGTCTCAGAACAATGGCCCCCCTGCGCAGGTGTGAATAAATCACCAATTAATAGCATCTGAGAGGGTCCAAGTTTATTTTTGCATAACCCCAAGGTTCTTTCACCAGAAACAGCCCTTCTGCAGGGGAGTTCACCTCTAGCGCGTTCACCTCTTTAATGTGTGAGGTTAATTCACATGTGGAGCAGGTGGAAGGCCTGGTTGTGGAAGATTAAGTGGCTGCTGCTTACGGTTGGGGCCATGAAATTAATAAGGATGGGGTAACTGCATTTGCCATCACTGACATCAGGAAAGGAAGTATGTATGCTTAGTAAAGCAGTTTATCAGCTCCAAAGCTTCCAAGGCTGCTTTCAAAGATACTTTTTCATCTTTGGCAGCCACAGGGAAGACCTGCTGAAAGTCAGGCCCAGGATCTGATTCTAGGCCGGCAGAGCTGCCAAGGGCATGAAATGGGGAGCCTTGATACTGTCCCTTCTCAAAGTCACGGCCCTGGCAGGGAAACAATGAAAACTGGAAAGCTAGGATGAGTCATTGAGTACATCAACCAAGGACCTTGAACTTAACTTCCCTTTGCCGTCCTAACTGCAGAAACAGCCTCCTCTCCTAAGGTGGGGTGGAAATACTCCCCTTGCCTGAACACCATAGAACAACTTCACCTGATACAGGAGCTTTGCAAAATGACATCACTCAAGACGTGTCCCCCTTAGACCCATCACGCTTCCACAACAATAACCAGACTTAGGTCTCAGCACAGCCTAGGCAGGGAAGTACAAACCCTGACCCAAGAAAATTAGTCCAGTGAATTGTAGGAGGCAGCTGACATCCGCTGGCCGACACTGGGGGAACACGTAGGGACTAAGTGAGGGTGTTAGGCCGAGCAGGGCAGGGTAAAATATAACTGGGATATGGGGGAGTTCACCTGTGACCTGGGACTCCATATTTTTATAAGAATTACTTGGAGTGGCTCGGCGCCTATAGCTCAACCGGCTAAGGCGCCAGCCACGTACACCTAAGGTGGCGGGTTCGAATCCCCAGCCCGGACCCGCCAAACACCAATGACGGCTGCAACCAAAAAAAAATAGCCGGGCGCTGTGGCGGGCGCCTGTGGTCCCAGCTACTTGGGAGGCGGAGGCAGGAGACTCACTTGAGCCCAGGAGTTGGAGGTTGCTGTGAGCTGTAATGCCACGGCACTCTGCCCAGGGGGACAGCTTGAGGCTCTGTCTCAAAAAAAAAGAATTACTTGGAGTCAGTCTAGCGATTACCCAAGGTGGCTCCTGCATGTTGACCTACAGTAAACAGGATGGAAATGCAAGAATGGCCTTTTGCATTATTGAGGAAGATGTCAAAAGACTAGAAATACAATGGTTAGACCATGTCCCTGAGGAATAGGCTAAGTCTCCTGCTGTTTTTTGTAACATAACTCACAGGGACATTGGTCATCTTAACATCTGGCTGGTCTATAGTAATGATGGTGTAACGCCGGTTGGTGACCTGGTGCAGGAAGTCTTGCATTCCCATAGGAGAGAAGGTAAATCCCAGTGGTGTTTAGGGTGCCCCATCAGTGAAATTTTTAGAGGTTTTGTGCTTAGGAGTACTCCAAGAGATTCTCTTTAAAGTAAAGCACAAGTTGTACTTTACACTTCTAAGAAAGAGGGATTATACTTGGCGGGCCACCTTGGGTTTAGAGACAGCGTGTACCACTTGGGCAGATTACTTGGACTCATTCATTGAGTGATGGGGAAGCTGCCAGCAAGTGGGGCTCAGGGGGAAAGAGGGTTTTCCAACAAATAGAGGCTGCACTG